TAAAGACACTTAATATATGTTTTGCATGTGATGTACCTCTGCACATTGCTTGTTTACCTGATTTTCATAAATGATTTTATAATTTTTTTTAATGACTTATATTTTTTTATTTTATATTTTCAATCTTTTGTTTATTTGTTTCATAAAATTGATGAAAGTTGAGAAAATAACAATAAAAATTAATTTAAACAATGGTTGCGTCTCAGGGTGTCATATTCTGCTGGCGTCCTTTATAAAGGACGTTTTAAAAAATCGCTCTAACTTTTTTAAAAATTAAAATTTTGAAAAAAGAAAAAATACGTATTAGTTTTTTTATTGGTATCTACAACATATATAAAATCACAAAAATCTAAAACCTCAGCAGAAAATGGTTTTATGGCCCATCCTGGAGACAAAACTTGAGCGTTCGTGTTCATGTTAATCATTCATTATTCTTGAGCTAGTGTGGATGTTCCATACACAAATTATAAAGAATGAGTTGCGACGAACATTGTTGTCAGAAAGTTTTAAAAGGAAAAAATACGATAAAATTGTAACTATTTTTTTTAATGAAGATTTTAACGGCACTGCAGCTCTCAAGATGGTGCCATAATGTGCCAGTAATTTTAATATTTTTTCCTAATTTTTGTTTTATTTTGTTGTTTTTTATAATTATTTAGTTATTATTATTACATCCTCAAAATTAATCACAGCCGAAAAGGAAAAATCCGATCAAACTATATCAAGACAAATAAATGGTAATCTTTGACTTAATGACTAAATTTCCACAGAGTTAGAGTTTGGTAGCATGGAGGCTCAACGTATAAAAAGAACGATGTTCTGCGTAACAGTGACATGGTTCAAAACGACGAGATCCACCAAGCGTGTATAACATTACTTTGAATGTGTGCACGAAAGTTCGTTCAATCAACTAATTAACCAATCAAAAAATCTTATTAATTAAGATTAAGTCAACCAACACGCAATGTAAAGTCGTGAACAAAAATTAATCGTTTAATTTTAGTACCATAGTGACCAGGCGGATGATGTATTAGTTTACTTTAAATACATTATTAATCAAGTAATTAAATTTATTAAATGAAAAACAAAGCCTCAATGATCGTAAATAAATATTTTTTTATAACCACTGTGATATCAAATAAATAAGTTTAAATGACATTGAATAAGTATTTTTTTTTATTTAATACATTATATTATAATGTTATAATAATTTACACTACTTTATTTCCATTTTATTATTTTTATCATTCATCAATCAAATATAATTTCTCTCATAATAAGATTAAATATTTTAAAAGAGATAAACAAGGTGAATTGAAATCTGATAAAACAGAAGATGATGATAAATTAGTTGCTTTCCAGATAAAATATACACCTGTAAAAAATTTGTCAAAGTTATAATATAACTAGACGTGTTTTACAATTCAAGAATAATATTAGTTTTAAAAAAAAGTTTTTAACTAAATTAACTTTTAAAAATAACCAAGGCGACAGGACGCTTAAGTAAATAAAAATTTAAAGTTTAAGAAGACTGAGTAAATCATGTTTCTTTACCTTAGTGTAGCCCTATTAAATAAAGAATTTATATTCAATAAATGTGTTTGAAGTTTCAATGATTATACAACGATATAATAAGATTTTTCACATCGCTGATTCTATCAGTGAAATGTTATACAGTTTAAACTTTAAGAAGGTTTAAGTTTGTTTTTTAATTAAATTGGCACTTATTAGTTTGAATAGCACAACTTTGAAGTTGTGCCAGAAGTAGTGCAATTCATTCACAAATCACAACAGTTATAAAAAGTATATCCTTCAGCATTGGTCAAAAAGATCTGCAGCTGTGCTGTTTGTTACGGGCACGTGTGTAAAAGTCAATCGGTCTGGCAAATCTTCTTCAAATTGGAAAGTTAAACGTGCCACGTGCCTAAACGACTAAGTTCGATGTTTAATTTATTTTCAGTCAGTCGTAAACATTTGGTTCAGATTTGAGAGATCCAATGTTTCAAAACAAACTTGTCCATTTTAAAAAGAAGTTTATGAAATATATACATAAAAAATTGAATAATCGTTATTTAATATTTTTTAAGAGAAGCAGAGCCGTCCGAGACGTGATTGCAAAACTTGTTGAATGTTGAATTGAATGAATGCTTTTGATGTTGAATGATCGATCAATCGGTCTAACTTAAATAGCACAAGATCAAGAGAAATTCTCACAACTTACACGAATACTAACGAAAATGTGGAAAGATAACGCGAATTATTACTGAAGTATATGCAGATTCGAACCAGGTAACTGCAACCCGACACCTAGCGTTCTAACAAATCCCCATAATCTGATGAGGGATCCACAATAAATCAAAACCAATGGTAAATTTATTTCAATAGTTCACATGTCTTCGTTAAAAAATTGTATTTGTTGAAGTAAATTGAAAAATTTCTGAGTTATATACAAATAGATCGTTCGCCTGAATGAATGGATATATATATTAGTTATTAGATGGATATGTGATTTGATTCCTATATTGAGAAATGAATTTAATAAAATTTGTAATAAATTTTCAGATTTTACCAATAAAGAGTTAAAAGAAAATAACTGTTAGTGAATATTAATTAAATAAAATAATGAAAGTGAATGATTTTTGTTATATTGATGCAAACAATCTTTTTTCAGTTCTTAAAATTAAATTACATACATGAAATGAAGTCGTTCATGCTAAACGTTAGAACCCAAAATTAGCCAATGCCCAGCGCCTAGGAAGTCTCAAAAAACAACCTATGGAATATCTATGAAAGTTAAAAATGTAAAAAAATTGAAATTTAACCAATATCTATCTTAAGAATTTCTAGATCAAATAAAAAGCTTTTCTTGATTAACCATTCAAATGTTGTTCAATTTATATGCCAAAAACTAAAAATGGGTCAAATGGTTTGGCTAATCTTAAACGTCTGTTTTTATGAATTTATTTTTTGATGTAAACTTTATTTTTAAGTTTTTTATTCGTTTTTATTATTTATCGTTAAAAATCATTTATAGATATTGTATTGCCTGTAAGACCAAACAACATAAAACTAAAGATAATGGTCCTAATAATGTTTCAAGGAACAATGAAATTTCAAAGAAAGACGAAAAAGGGAAAAATCTTTCTGTTTAATGCATGGAATTATATAACTGGAAGCGCCCTACCAGCGTTTTAACATTGAAAATTTTTTTCAACGGGCAAGTTACCTCTGGAAGCAAGTTTCAAAAAATTAATTATTCATTTTGGTTTATTTTTAGAAAAATCTGAGATATAATTAGAAAAAATCTTGGCCTTCCCGAAGTTATGTTAATGACTCTTTGCCGATCTGCATTCAGTTCGTTAGTTAAAATTTATTTCGTTTTCAACACTCCGTGAAGTTTTAGGTTAATTTATGAGGTTTATATAACCACCGTATTTAATGTTTAATCGTTAAATAGATATTGCCATTTTTTGATGCATCAGAAAAATCGAAGATTTATAAGTTCGTTAGCGATCCTCATTTTCTTCATTCATTCTCCCAGCACCCACGAATCACGCTGATGATCATTTACTTCATATCATTTCATTAGAGTAAGAATCATTCCTAAATTAAATTAGATTCTAATTTAGAATCTAGAAAACGAAAAGAAGTCGGTAAAAATTTTAATGTAAAAACTAAAAATGAAATGTTATTAATATTTAAAAAATATAACTCATAATCAATTTATAATATTGTTATAATATAAATAAATTAATCAACTAATAATTTTTAAATTAAGATGTAATTCCTGTGCATATGTCCTCAACTAGAATCTTTCAACACTCCAAAGCTTACAATTCAAAGGAATAATTACTTTCAACATCACATACCCAAACCAAATTTAATCACACAGAGGAAGTTTTTAAAATTTATTTTGGTAGTAAAAGCAAACAATTTTTTTTTCTGTTTAAATGTTATGATTTATAATTTTATATTACTTATTAATATATTATATTTTATTATATATTATAATTTATTTTATATTATATTTATATATATTAAATAAATTATATATATATTTATTATATTTATATATATTATTATATTTATATTATTATATTTATTATAATTATATATATTATTATATTAAATAAATTATATAATAATTCAAGTTAAAATCAAATTCTTTAACTATTTCAACTGTAATTGGCATTATTAATATATTAAATAAATAATAATAGTTTCTTTAATAACATCAAATTCATTATGCTATTAATTTAAAACGATCAACTGTTAATTTTTAATAGAATAGGTATGTTTAATAATTTTTAGTTTAACATTACTATTTATAAAATAACCCTGAAGATGCTAGATCTTGAGAGTGTATATTATTATATTTATGTGTAAATTATTATATTTCTTGTTTGTTGATTATAAAACGTCTATCTTGCTATAATTAGTGATGAATCAAGTTAGATCAGTCTTACCTTTTTTATTTCTGGATTTTGGTTTTGTTTATTTGTTGTATAACTGCAAAATGTTTGATTTACATAATTATAAATTTATCTATCAAAACTATTTTAAAAAGTGAAACACATACACACACACACACACACACACACACACACACATATATATATATGTAACCACATTTATGTATTTATTTCATATCTATGATATTCAATATCTTTGTTATATGTTTGATCTTTGTTTGGGTTTCGATAAATGTGCTTCGATAAATGTGCTGCGATAAATGTGCTGCACCACGTGATTGACATATTTTATAATTTATTTGATTTATGAGTTTCGTATGAATAAGCCTGTAATTGATTACTGTTTTACAGGTATGTTTTCTTTAATTTATATCTCTGTATTATTTTATATTATTTGATTATATGACATTTAATTTGTTTGAATAAACTGTTTTACAGATTAATAAATCAGGTTTTATTTAGAAACAATCTTACAAATCAATTACAAGTTATATTCCAAAAAAAAAAAAGAAGGGAAAGAAAGAGAAGATGTCTTCAGATAAGTTATTTTTTTATATTATTAAAAGAAACGATAATTTCGATTTGACGGCTTTGTCAGAAAATAAATTAGCGTGGTATAATTTGCCCGATGATTATAAAGATTTGGCTGAACATAAAGTTTTATGCTCAAAGCGAGTGATAAAAAATACAATTATGACAATAAAACCGATTAATGGTTACCGCAAAATTGGCATAACGATTGATGACGAATTAAGAAAAGAATATTATGACGAAGACGGCAATTTATGCTTTTTAAACATGCCACTAGAAGAAGCTAATATAAGTAATGAACACGTGGTTGCTGATAAATCAGATGAGAAAAATTTTTTAATCGAAAAAATTAAAGAATTGGAAGCGAAATTAAATTTAGATAATAAATTTAAATTGCATGATGTTGAAAAAAGGTTTATTTTAGACAAATTTAATAAAAGTCAAAATGTTAACGATTGGCTAGAAAAATTTGAAAACGAGTGTATAAGACACAAAATATTCGACGCTACCAATATGATAGAAGCACTTCGATTTTTTTTATCGGGTTCAGCAGAAAATTGGTACGACGCAAATATAATAAAAATTGGTTTAACTAATTGGTCAGAATGGAGAGCATCGTTTCTCACAGTATTTGCTGATAAAGGTTGGAAAAAAATAAGAACGGCATACAATTTTAAATATCTAGGCGGTTCACTAATAGATTATGCTTTAGCCAAGGAAAGCTTATGTTTAGAAGCTGAATTAAACGCCA